ATGTACTCTGTGATCAAAAACGCCTGAACATTCAAAATTGGAGTTCTCTCTATCTATATATATACATAGAGCTGATGCCCCTTGCCGAGGACCCCAATCAAGAGCTGGAAGATCAGTTCTCCACCAACTCCCGCTAGTTCGATAGTGAATCCAAAGACTTCCCCTGCATCGCTACTAGTAGCAGTGCATCGCTATTAGTAACAAGGGCACTAGTAGCTTCTTCTTACTAGTAGTAATGCAGTGGTTACTAGTAGCGATGGCCTCCAACCACCTAGTAGCTTCTTGTTACTACTAGCGATGCACTTGTTACTTAATTTGTGCATCCAAAGACTTCCCTACTTTGGATGTGGAGCCTCGACGGAAGACACACATTCCCCGTATTCCATACTGTGCGCAAATTAGCAGGTCCGCTTTCCCAGCTCAACGGCCTTCTCAACCCGGTGTGGCCACAGTATTAGCACAATGAACTACGTATATATATATATACACATACACACACGCTAGTAGTAACAAGTGCCACGCTAGTAGTAACAGGTGCCTTACTAGTAGTAACAAAGAAGCTATTAGAATTAATTTAAAGTAAATTTAATTAGCTTCTTGTTACTACTAGTAAGGCACCTGTGGATCTGGACAGTTGGAATCATTCGGGCAAGAGTCTGCCATCCAAAAGGCTCAACGCCTGGCCTTTCTTGAAAAGAGTGTCCGCAGCCTGGAAGCAGAGAGGCCGAAGCATTTACTATGATGGGGTTCAATTGCCATTTTGTGTGGTTGTTGGAGACAGTCGCACATGCAACAGGTGGGTTCACACTGCCCGAAGTGGCCTGTACTGGTCAGTCAGTCCCAAAACTCTGGCCATTGATTTGCGGAAGTCCAAACGGCATGAGTAGAGAGCCTGGAAAGGAGAAGTGAATGAATTAGGTGAATAGCATGTGCTCAATTAGAAGTTAAACATGATAGTGCAACAATGTGCAACCTGAAAGGAATCTGAGGAGGTGTAACCTGAGATTCGGATATTTTGTTCTTTGAACATGGTTCGGGAAAGAAGTAAAGCACGGCTTCCAGACGTTTAAAGTTTAAGGGCATTTCCTTTTGGCGGCTGGTGGAGTATTGGCGGAGCAGGTATCATCGGGCATGCTAGTTTGACTGTGAGAATTGGTTCTGGAAGTTTCTTGCGGTTCACAAACGCCTTTCTCATTTTGGGCGATAAGCTGCTTGTTCGAGCAGGTCAGAGCTGCTTGTTCGGGCAACAGTGGCTGAAGAGCAGCTCAAGCAGCTGCAAAAGCATTTGAAGGAAGCAAACATTCAGATAGTTGTGAAGGTTTGTGTCGCTTGTGTTTGTTTGAAATGATGATCCAGAGAAGCAGAGGAGATGATGGAAGATTACCAGATGCAGATAATGAACTTGAAGCTGAAAGTGAAAGGATAACATGAAGCTAGCAGCAGACAACAATTCCTGACGCCTATGTCCGAATGAAAGAGATACTTCGCTTTGCACAGTGTTGAAGCGATGTGATAAAGACATGTCTTGAATTTGACATGGGTGTTTTTGCAAGTTGTAGATCGATATATATCTCAATTTGCCTACGATCTTGGACATAGCAATGTGCATAGAGACTTGACAATCCTGTTGGGGCAAATTCTGTCTCACAGTGAGTGGACATGTTGAGTGAACATAGCTCGTTTGTCCATCATTCATTCTTGGAAAAGGAAAGGGTCCTCCATGTTTGCACAATGATACATTGCATCAGTCTTCCTCACTGCAGGGAACCTTCTGGTTTCTTCTTTGCATGCTGCAGCACGGTCTCAAACTAACAAGTTGGAGTTGCGCAACCTTTGACTTTGCAGATAGTAAACCTGCACCCATGCTTCACAACTATTGTTGTTTATGTTCTTGTTTAGCCATGGTCACATCACGTTGTTGAACAATGATTTGTCAGCCCCACACGTCAGGCCAGTTTCAGGAGGCTTTGTTTTGTATGCCAGCCTTGGGCTGATGAGTTGCAGAGAAGCAGTACTGACACTGCAAGGACACAACCATGGTTTAGAGTTGCCTGCCAATGGGCAATCAGGTGGCGAGTACTTTGTTTTGGAGTTCACCAATCCATGCGCGTCATATTGGAAACGGGAAGACACAACTTGACTTTGTGAATTGAATGTGGTCCAGTGCTTATTTGAACAGCCTTGTACTTCTTCTGTGCTCAGTTGACATGTGGCTGCTGTGCCAAAGAAGGCGGCAGTATTGTAGATGACCGACAGGACTGAAAGCACATCCTAGACGTTGAAACTAACCGATCTGTATAAATATCAAGTATCCAAAGTGCGTCCTGTAAGCCAACAAGTTGTTTGCCAGGATTCACGCCCTTTCTTTTGCAGGACTGGAGTGGGACACTGGATTCATACTGCAATATGTAAACGACAGAAGAACATGGCATGGAAAGGATGTAAGGATAATGGCATCGAAAGGCTACGTTGTGACAGGAAATCGTGTGGCTTGGATGAGTTGGAATCGGACCTCTTCACTTGCGATCCGGCTGGGGTGTTTTTCGAGAACACCCTTGCCGCTCTTGATGTGAAGGACTGCATCGAGATAGCTCCTTTTAGACGTGCAGAGTTGGATTGACTTGGCTGTCAGGAGAGGCTCAGCTTTAGCTTCGCAGGCGTGTTTTTTCTTGAATTGAGTGGGTAGTTGTTGTACGAGCCAAGCTTTGCTAAGCTCATTCCATCTTAGGCTCTTCAAATCTGGCTGCTTTGAGATGGGGCTTTGTGCACGGTGCCAACCCAAAGGCAGCTTGTCGCTTCAGACGCCACTGCTTTTTGAAAGCCAAGCATGCTAAGCCATGTGCCCTATTAGACAAAGGCGCTTGGGTTTCCAACTGAAGTGGAATGCCATTGCGAGGTTTCAGACAGCAATGGAACTACCCTGCTGCACGTCGCTGCAAGAGCTGGCAGCTTTCAAATAGTGAAGGAGCCAAAGCTGCCCCTATGACTCAAACCAACGAGCTTCCATGTAAGAAAAGAAGATTGGCTGGAGTACAGCAACACATGACATAGCTATCAATTTCAAAGAAACACAGACATTATCCACAGCAAGCTCGGGTCATTGATTAGGGGGGTATGTCCGATAATTTGCTGCAGACATGACCAGAGAAGGAATATTTGTTGCTGGTGTCCCTGCTTGGTCTTGGTCATGCTGCATTTTCCTGACAGGACCTTGTTCTTCGGTCAATTGACGTTAATGCAGTAGATTGTGAGGAACTCAGACTCAGTGGGGGGTGTCAGCACAGCAGGAGATGACTTCCCACGGACCTTCTCAAGTGTTCTTCGCGTTGACAAAAAGGCCTTTGTTGGAACCTTCATTGTGATAGAAAAAGAACAAACATATAAGGTCTTTCAATTTGGGTCCCTTTAATAAGGCCGCCTTTATATACTGTAAATGGGAGCTTATGAAAGGGGCCGAAACACAATTGTTTTTTTTACTGTAAAAAAAAATGTTTTTCCATATCATTGCTTCTCCTCTTCTGTTTATTATTCTTTTTTTTGGGGCAAATGTTTCATTGTTTGTCATACTGGGCTACCAGCGGTGTTTCACAGCTCGCCCAACCATTCCTTTTCTGTGTCAGCATATGACGCAGACGGGCGCAGTAACAGAAAAAGACTCAAGGTCAACAGGTTTCGTTGCACTGTCCAACAGCTTTCGCCGATGCCATAGTTGGACGCAGCATCTCACAGTTTAGCACGATGCAAGGATCAAAAGCGTGTCCATGTTTTCTGCTTTCACGCGAAGGCGCCTTAGATCGGGGGTACAGAAAGGGCGTACACCGCGCAAGCTCAGGCCAAAGCTCCTTGTTTGGCCAGTTCCCTCAAATCTAGGAACCACATGAATAGTGCGAGCGCTTCTTCAAGGAAACTCTTCCCCACCTGAAGAAGCGCGAGCTTTCCTGGGTCTACTTAGTCTACTTGAGCTGAGTAGCTACCTCTTACTACTAGCTACTTAAGCTACTATGGCTTCCCCCCCAAAAAAAGGAGCATGAGCCACATTTGCAGAAAAAAAATCCGAGGTGCTGGTTGGACACCCCTCCATGTGGCCAGCTGCATGGGACGACAGGCGCCGTTTTGAAGAGTTGCCCTAGGACAATGCTTGTGCGATTCCCTAGTAACAATGCTTGTGCTTCTAGTTACTAGGAAGCTTTATTGTTACTACAGGTGAAACGATTCCCAGTGAAACGATTCCCAAGGAAGCTTGTTTGAGCCAGCAAAACTAACACTTTTGGTGGTTGGAGGACGTTTCACTTTATTTGCTTCAGATGGGCGCCAAAATAAGCAGGACGGCGAGGCCACCTGGACGACATCCGACTTGATTTGCGTTGTCTTTAATTTGAACTGGGTTTAACATGCTGTGACCGGAACGCTTTATTGCTAGGCTAGGACTTCTGTTTCGAAAGCAACTTACAATGCTGGTTGCCCATATTCCTTTCCAAGGGGCTTCACGCCTGAGAACCTGTGCAGCCACCCTCATACAAAGGAGGCTGATGGTGTGTCCTTGCTTGTGAGTATCTAGTCGGTTGAAGTGTTCGAGTAGAGGTGGTGGTTGGCTTCGAAGAACGCCGGCCCAAAGTGCCTCAGGCTCATATCGCTGTTTGTTTGCAAGATGGGAAATTTGCTTTTTGAAAGAGGGTGTTGCAATGCATCCTCCAAAGTACTGACTGTGAGCTGTTTCAGCTATTCGAGCAACCGAACATGCATAATTGATTTTAACCGCATCCACCCAACAATGTCCCTCACCATTGAAAGTACACCCACTAGGAGGTTTCCATGCACTGCTTGTCCGATGTTGAGAGCAATCAAAATTGCGAGTATTGAGTATTACCATTGGCCTTGCAATGAAGCCACTGAATTGTATAAGATTTGCTTTTCAGTTCATATCTTTGACATGATACAACACGACTCCACTCCACTCAGCAAAAATATTTCTAAGATGGCCTGTAGGCTGATATGAAGCCATGAGTCGAATTGCCCTCAATGAACGGCGTCACAGCGCAGACTTTGGGTGGCGAGCAGCCTCTTGGCACAGAACAAGGCGGTGCTCCAGTGTTCCAAGAAATATCCCAGATCATACGCCATCATAGTCATGCGCAAATTGCAATTCTTCAGGAGATATACGCCTATCTGGCCCGTTCCACCCTACGCAAAGAAAAAGACAGTTCGAATGATGAAGAAAAAGCGTATAACCGTATATTTCCGTTGATGCTTTTTGCCATTTCCGTGAAACATTGTCCAAATGCGATGCAGGATCCCCATCATGGTCTTTTGATCATTCTCTTCCGCCGGTCGTTCCTTTGGCCTGGGCCGGGGCACAAGTTGCTGTTAAAGTTTGGTCTCTTTTCCGTGCAATCCGTTGACACCCAGATTTGCCGGCGTTCTTTGTGGATTTTTGATAAAACTGAGCAAGTTCAAAAACTACATGCGGTCGACTCACCCGAGGCTAAGATTCAACCACCAGCTGCTAAGTCGCTAGGTCATCAAGCCTCTACATTGCGGGCCATCGTTCGCTATCTCGAAAATACATTGCAATGCAAACTGTTCCCACACTACAAAAAGTCCTGTGCTTCCTCGTTGGCTAGAATGGGCTTCCATCGGAGCTTAGTTGGCGAAATGGCTTCACGCCCCACTCTACCAAATGCTGATCAGGTGGTTAAATTTCTTGGTGACTATTCCTCGTTACTTGGCCAGCCATATCCATTAAATGTGCGCCTTCCCGTTGTGCCGGTTTCCGACTTCGCAAAAACCCTCCTGGATCTCCCCTCTGAACCAGCTTTTCAGAACCGCCAGAATCTTTACCAGAAAGTAATAACATTTATTCGCAACGATATTCTTGAAATACCGATTGAATCTTGAATTAGGTGCCTCCCTTTCCGCTTTCGTAGCCTAATTCACTTGTGCTTCTTCTCGTGTCTTATACCGTGAAGTTGCTTGTGGTCGTGTTTGGTTTCACTGCATGTTTTTGTTCATATGGTTCTTGTACCTATTTATCCCTCAGGCACCCTACCTATGTGGAAGGGCTTTGAGGGGGGGAGTGGAGTCCGCAAGTTCTGTGTGTGGTGTTCGGTTGTGGTTTTATGCTAAGGACCAACAGCCTGAGGAGACACAGGTCCGGGTTGTCTGGGTCATCTGGATCCGGCGTGTGAATTTTGGGACGAACTGAAGTTGAGCTCTCCACGGTATTCGAGCGCGATTTGTGCCAGGAGCCAAAGTCTTCCAGCTCCAAGCACGCAGTGCAGCATGCAGGCTTTGTATGAATCATGAGTTTGTTTTAGCCGTATGTAGCACGAGTTTGCTTCTGTGGTATGTACCAGGAGTTTGCTCGCTCCATGTTGCTTCATTACATTGGAGGCCACTGCTCCAATGCCTCTACTCCAACTGTGACGATGAGCCATTTCGGCAGTGAAGCCGACGGTGACTGGCAGCTGCTTGAACGACAGGGTCCTGGGACCATCCGACAGACACCAGGTATAGAGCAACACAAGCAGGGCGTGCACCGTCATTCGGCTCAGGTTGCAGGCCATGCGGCTGGAAAACAAAGAAGTGGATCTTCGTTGCTCAGAAACTGAAGCGATGATCCAATCGAAAGCTGCAAGCTTAGCTTGTCCACCAGCACTGCGACGCTCTGGGACGCAGCGGGAAAGAAACAAATGTGGATCTTTTTCGAAATTGAGTTTCCCGTGGCTTTTCCCAACTTGTTCCAAACTTCTCAAGATGCTGTGATGCGACAGGTACGGCAGCTGCAAAGAGGCCGTGAGCAACTCATAAAGGAGCAGAAGCAGCTGCAAGAGATGCAGCGTGCGCTCAAAAAGCGGCAGATGCATGAGCAACAGGTCTCACTTGAGGCGCTTTTCATTGTGGCAGACAACCAGACAGCTCAGCAGACAGCCTGCATGTCTGTGTAGTTTTTGTCGTTTGTTGTGAATTTTGTCTTTGTTTTTGATTTCTCTGTTCTTCACATCGCAGTATGATATCCGGTGCGCGCTCCCTGAAGTTGGGATAGGCGATGCAAGACGAGGAGCAATACATATTGCACACAGATGTCAGAGAGCTGGGCGCACAGATATTGTTTGGCTTTGACATGCTATTAGGTTGGAGGCTGTAAATATGGAAGCGGAGGCCACAACTCAACAACAGTCAATGCACTGCCCCACAACCGACACACAATGTATGTGCACCCTTCTCTCAAACCACCAATACGGAGCGGAAGCGAAACTATTTCCAACACGCTATGGCTGAGCACGTCGAATGCGCGTCCGCTATCAGCACATCAGGGCACGTCTTGAACCCCAATGGTAGAGGAATGATCTCTTTGGTCAATGGATGTCTTCATTTTCACACAGCCCCAAAAATTTTCTTGACCAAAGTTCGAATCGTCCAGTAAACAAACCAGGTTCAGCCAATCGGTATCACCATAGTTCGTCTCCAGCTGTTTCACCTGTTTCCGTTTCCTTCCTGACACAAAATTAGGGTCGAACACAATTCTCCAGGTCGTTTGGTTCAAAGCTTGTATAAGCTGTTCACCCTTCCAAGGCTTAGTTAAGCCGTCTGCAAGTTCCTGATCTCCTGACACCCAACGACATCGAACGTTCGCCTGATTCAAACGTTCACGGATGCCTAAGACCTCAATCGAAGTCCTTCGTTCCTCCATCTGGAGGCCACATGTCTGTACTCTCTCAAGAGCATCATAAACATTCTTAGCATCACTCAAAATGCATGACTCTTCAGCAGCTAGTATGTTGTCCGGGTTTCTGAGGTCCACATGTCCAGGATGTTTCATCAAGTAAACAAACAGTTTCACAAATTCATGTTCGTCAAGTCCGTTTCCTGTCATCTGGACTTCTGCGCTAGTTGAGGATCTGGCAATTCGTCGAAGGCGCCGACTTGTCCAGCACAGCACGGAAAAATGACTGAGCTTTCCATTCAGGGTATCTCGGTTCATCAAAACTGTAAGTGCCCCTCCCTGGGAGCTACCATCACGTCTAGTTGCCCAAGAGGCATCACAGAACGTCACAATTAGATTATCCTTCACCTGATGTGGAAAAATCAGTTTCACGTGACTGTGTCGTCGTTGCCACCTAATAGCCTTATTGGTTTCCATCAAATCACTCACTGTTGCCGTCTCCACACATCCTTGTAGATGGGAAACCGTCGAAAGCAACCAAGGACTCGTTTGAACTGCTCTCCAATTCAATGCTCCCAAAGCTCGCCTCATCTCTGATTTCTCGGCCGGAGTAGCCAGGTCATGTTTCATGTCTTTTCGAGAACGTTCGAGGTTTATTTCGTCAATGGAAAGAGCAAAACGTTCTTGATTCAGCCAAATATCAAAATCTTCGGTCTGAAAAATGTCGCATCCACAAAATTTCACACTCTTCTCTTGTGCACACTCCCAGCTTCCGAAAGGAAAGGAATCTCGAAGCCTTTGGACTTGCTTTTCAAAGAAAGACCCGGAGCCTGCGACCACCAGATCGTCCACGTGTGCACCTAGGTAGCCACAAATCTCCTGAGTAGTTGGATCGGTCAGGATGAACACGCACTGATCCAATTGATGTGACTGCCACTTCAAGCCCCACAGAACAGATTGTAGCTTCTCAAACCATCTCCGTGGCGCATGGCACAAACCATACACGGCTTTTGCGACTCTCCAAAGCTCATGAGGTTTCATGTTCAGGTGTTGTTTCACTTCTTCAGGTGGTTCAGCCCAGATTTTTCGTTCTAACTCCGTCTGATCTCCATTCAAATAGGCAGTCTTGATATCTCCTAGAAACACCTTGAACCTTCGTTGAGCTGCAAGTGACAAAATGGTATTTCTACCCAGTGTGCTCAGAGTGGCTGCTTCCCGAGGCACTGACAACAGCTCAGGATCCTGATATCCTTTCAAAATAAGACGGGCCTTAGCCTTCCTACCGACTTGTACTCCATTTTCATCTTGTACTGGTTTCCAAACAAGGACCCACCGCATGCCAAGGATTCTTTCTCGTGGAACTCCCTCCCTAGCACAAATCTCAACAGCACTATTTGAAGTAAATGAGTCCACTTCATTTCCCATGGCCTTCAAGAACTCTTTCTTGTCTTCTTCATTCAGTTTTCGAAAATTCACTTCAACGTTTCGTTTCGCCTTTTGATTGAGTACCCAAATACCTCTTTTGCAATGAACATCACGTGCCGACACATTCAAATGAATTTCAACTGTGTAAGTACTCTCAACAGCCTGAGCAAACAACAGAGCACTCTTTTCATCGCATTCTTCAGGTATGGTAGTAAGTTGGACAGGCCGTGAGTGTTCTGTACTCTCTTCCCGTCTTATATTCGCTGGATCCCTGTGTGGGGTCCTGCTCCGATGTCTCGGATTGTTGGTCCTATCTACCCGAGATTCAGCTTCTCTGCGATCTGCATCAGAATGATTTCCATCTGACCCATGCGCATCTTGAGCTCTGAAGTTTCCTCTTGCAGCTGAATCATCTCTTTTGAGGGTTCCTCCATGGTCACTGTCCAGTGCTCGAAGTCCCCCTTCTCGACCTTCTCTTCGAACAGCTCGTCCTGTCCGCCCCGCTTCTTGGTATTCCCGGTCTTCATCTGTGTGTCCTCTTTTGTGCCCCCGTAACCGGCTGCGGCCTCCATCTGTTGCACCAGAGCTTTTGTCCGACGGTTCAGAAATTCCACGAACATCTGCATCGTTGGATTGCTCTTCTCTGGATTCACATGGCTCGCCACCCATTCGGCGTAGCCCGGCTGAGCTGCTGCTTCCTCGAAGGTCAGGCCCTTGTGTTTCCCAAAGTCGATCTTCTTGGCTTTGAGCTCGATCATTGGCATGGTCTTTGCCTTCTCCACCATGTCCTGGCCTGTTGCGTGGCTGGTCAAGCGCTTCAGCTTGTCCAAGTTCTCCTTGAGGCTCAGTTCTGGCTTGCTTGGCGCGCTCATGGCCATCGCTCGAAAAAGGGGGGCGAGGATCAGGAGGATCAACTACGTCCAAAGTCCGTTTTCCTTGACATCGAAATCTTGGCATGTTCAAGTCAGGTGACACGTCTGGCACTTCATCAAGATCTTGCAGCAAATCATGAAACTTTTGTTGTCTTCTCAACGTCTGATACATAGTTTCAAAATCAGCTGGTCCATTAATCTGAATATCAATATGTTGTACATCTTGTGTCACAGGTCGTAATTGTTCAGGTGCGCATCTCAACAAGAACCCAGCATGACTGACCCAAACAATCGAACCAGGATGGTTGGTCAACAACTGTTCTGAAGTCTTCTCATGACAAAGCACCCTACCTGGACCATGCCACCTACCCGCAACACGAGTTCCTTCTTTTCGATCTCTACGGTAGTAGTAAACAAGTTGTCCCACTGTGAACTCTCTGAGTGGCCTACTTTGCGCTCGCAGGGCCCGCTGCAAACGTCGTTGCGAATCGGCCTCAATGAAAAGTTTCCTGGCCGCGGCTTCTCTTTTCAAACCAACTTCGAAGTCAGGTTCCTCGCGCTGGCTATCCCAGGGGAGATGTCCATCAAATCGGAGAAAGGAGCTAATCCGTCCGTGGTTGGCACCAAACTGCCATTGATTCGGAGTGTATCCTTTCACGTTGTGGACTTCGTTCTTGGCCATGACAGCCAAATGCAACAATTCTTTGGCATCCGTGTCAGGTCCCAACTCGTGAGCCAACAAATTGGCGTTTTCTTTCAAAATCTGTAAATGTCGGGAATGTTTGCCCATCTGCCAAGCACTCTCTCCACCTATTGGTTCCATCTTAATGCCAAGACTCTCTAACCAACTGATCAAACCAATGGCCCTCATATAACCTTCCTCATCATATCTCAGTTTCTGGGGGACCGGAAACCTTTTGATCCAACCCTCCAAAAAGCCCTCCTTGAACTCTTTCCCTGAAATCACATGTTGGGGATGTTTGCCTTGACGCACAATCACCACAGTATGGTAGTCAGTCGCTTCATCAAACAAGGAAATTCCAACAACATGTTGACCCTCTTGTCCAGGGGAAAGCAATTCCTTGGGAACATGCCACCAAAACGTGTCCACACTCACACATTCCCATTTATCACGGACTGGGGGAGGAGTGGCCGGATGGCAGGCAGCTCGTCTTCCACGTTGCAGGCAGTGATCACACCTGAAACGATCTACCTGCTTCAGGACAGCTGGAGAAGCACCGGCATCCTTGAACATTCTTCGCATTACTTGATGATTAGGATGACCCAGATTCCGATGAATGAGCCGTATCTGATTAAGCGTGTGAGGATCCTCTTCCACAAGCATATCCTCTTCATGCAACTCACGCAAAATCTTGAAACAAGTGGTTCCAGTCCAGGCTCCTTTACTGTGTTCAAAGGGTTCCGCGGATGACTCTCTCCAATTGTCCTCTTTTTCATCTCTAGTGCCGTCTGAGAACACCGCCACAGTCTTGCGCCAAGAGGAAATCTGCGCATCAGGAATGGGGCATTCCACCTCACTAGGTTTGAACGCCTGAGTTCGTGCAGTCTCGTGATGGCGCACGAGCATTCCATTCTCTTGGCTCCAGTAGTCAACATTCTCATTTGCAAAAATTGTGGCAGTGTTTTCAAAGGCTTGACACAAAATGTTCTCCTTCACTGGATTCAAAATGGCCTTTGCAAAACGGACACACAGCAAGCGAGGGTATGTGGCAGTTCGAGCAGTGAGCCCTCCCTCAATTGACACATGTTCATGTCCAATATGGTTGCATTGACTCTCTAAGGCCTTCCTAACCGACTGTGAGCTACTGAACCAACCCCAGGGTTTCCTGATCAGACCTCGAGTCTTTTCATCTCTCATTTCATGACAACAACCATGTACTGTAAACCTGCCGCCACACATCTTAGCCATAGACCCCATGTCTGTAGCTTTCCAGCTATGGGCTCGAAGTGGGTGCTCACCACCTCCATGAAAAACCTCAGTCTGTCCGCCTTGGCCATCCAGTTCCTGAAGCTGGACTTCCAAAAGTCTTCGGCATCTGGTGATCAGTTTCTTGCTCAGAACTCTCTGTTCCAAGAACATCTTTTGTTTTATTTCATCACGTTTGGTGCAATTCTGAAATGAGCTCCACAAAAAACAAGGTGGGGAAATGTGTAAATAGCGAGGCCTCAGGTGACGTATTGTTTGCAAAGCGTGTCTGTATCCCTCAACAGTACGCAAATCATATCCATTGTGGATACCTAGAGCGATTGCTTTGCCACCTAGATCCCGCACAGCCTGGCACAAGGGAGAGTCCCAGGGCGCACACAGTTCCACCAAGTCCATCCGGTGTCCACCAACTAAACCTTCAAAAGTCAAGTCTCCAATGTCCAGTTCTCGTTTCAACGTTTGAAGGAGTTTCTGTTTTTGGTCAAGTCCTAAATGACTTTTCTGGTGGTCCTGATGGGGCTCAAGTTCAACATCACAAACCTGGAGATTCGTTGTATCATTCCTCGATGTTTCATTAAAATTGTCTCCACTCAAGGCTATCAAGCTTTCCCCAGCTTGTCCATTTGAGCCTTGGTGGAGCTGTTCCTACTCGTCCACCGTGCCCTGATCGCCAGCGGTGGCCTCATCGAAGGCCACACACCTAGTGTCACTGGCTGGCTGTTCCAGCAAGTCGGGGTCACTCCGGCTCAAGGTGTGGACGTCCCCATCGAAGTCCTCGTCGCTCACAAAGAGGTTCTCTAAGGCATTCTGATGCCCAGCGAATGCAGTCAATGGAATCAGCAGGTGATTGCTCTCTGTTCGTTCCAACTGAATCTGTTGCGAACTCAATGTCTTGAAGAGAGCCTTGCCTGTCCTGAAGTTAATTGTCACATCCATGTCATAGAGGAACTTCGAAGACAGCAAGAAGGGCGTTTTCCCTTCCACGAGGTGTGACTGAATCGTCACTTCCTTGCCACAGATTCCAGCATTCACATGCGACAATCCCAGCCCAGATGAAGACTCTCCGTTTCCAAAAATGAACCGCTTGTGAATCTGTCGGTCCACCTTTATCTCATGCTCTGGCTCAAAATCCATCTCCTCCAGACATTCTGCCAGGTCCTGCAATGTCTCTGCTCCAACAATGTTGTCTGAAGCACCTGAATCGACAATGGCTTTCCCTCGCAGCTCTGAAGAATGCAAAGCCAAAATCTGTCCTGTTGCCACTTCCTGTGAGCATAGCACCCAATTGGGATCTGAACAGATCACCTCCGGTGATGGGTGCGGTGCGGAGTCATTCTGACTGTGGCCAAGCACTGTGGTCACCATGTGAACCTCCGGTTGATCACAACTGGTCACAATGGGAACCTCCGGATGTGCTGACTGGTCACTTGGGTCAACTGACTCACACCAGCCCACATAACCTATGGAACTGCCTCCACTTCCTGATGGCCTCTGTGGACAACGACGGGCGGTATGCCCCTTCTTGCCACATCGGAAACAGGTCTTGTCTGCATCTGATGAATAGGATTCCCTCTTTGGCGCAGCTTGTGACTTCGAAAACTGACTTGCCTTTCCTCGGTGTTGACTCTGTCCTGGTGGTCTCACAGGGTAGAATCCTCGAGCTGTCCTGGCTTGATCCAAGGCACGGCGAGCCTCCTTGAAATTAGCCAGGATCTCTGCATTGTCTTCGGTGTCTGCCAAGAGTTCAGCTGCTGCCTCATCGCACCACTCTTGAAGCTCCAGGATCTCCTCTGTCTCTTCTGGTTCAGGGTCTGCATCTTGCTGAGCGTACCCCTCATCCTGATGGTATGCATGTCCTGATGTTGTCTTTCGTGGTCGAATCTCTGCATCTCTGTTGCCGAGGCCTCCACTGCTCCACATCAACCGCAAGGCGGTCAGAACATCATCAACCTTGTAAGAACTGGCCTTCCCCCGGATGTTTGCAGCATCGGATGGTGACATTCTCATGAATACATTCAAGAGGAACCACCCGTACACCTCAGGCGGCATTTTGGCACTTGCATTGGTCTCGGCAAGTGCCCGCTCCATCCGCCTCATCAAAATCTTGAAGCGGTTCTCGTAGTCATTGATCTCCTCACCATCACGTCGGCAAGCGTCACGCTTCAGAAAAAACTCTGTAAACGTATCACCCAAAATGTCCACTTTAGCCCTGCCACGTTGTTCTTCCAAAAAGGTCAGCAAGTAATGCCATCCCTGGGCCTTCTTCAACTGTTCCCGTTTGATCTCACCCAACGTGTCAAAGGCCTTGCCAACTAGGTTTGATGCTAAACGAGGTCCGAGAAATGGAAGGTCGTCCTCCTTGCACGCGTCGGCTCTCAACTCGACTCTTGTCTTGTAGTCTTCATAGGTACTCCAGTTACCATCCCACCATGGGTATTTGGAGTCCACGATCCCCTCGTATTCCTTTGGAATACTCATAGCCCAAAACAATGCAACCACTGCACAAGCCAAGGAGCGACCAGCTCCGCTACCATGTAAATATGGAAGCGGAGGCCACAACTCAACAACAGTCAATGCACTGCCCCACAACCGACACACAATGTATGTGCACCCTTCTCTCAAACCACCAATACGGAGCGGAAGCGAAACTATTTCCAACACGCTATGGCTGAGCACGTCGAATGCGCGTCCGCTATCAGCACATCAGGGCACGTCTTGAACCCCAATGGTAGAGGAATGATCTCTTTGGTCAATGGATGTCTTCATTTTCACAGAGGCCATCGCTATTAGGTTCCTTTTAAAGTCTTTTTCTTAAAGCTTCTTAAGGTCTTTTTTCCATAAACCCTTGCACAATCAAACATCCGTCAGCAATCTTTGTCGATGCCCAAGGCCACATGTTTCTCAGAAGAGTCCTCTCAGTGAGTGCAAAGGACCGTCCTTTCAATGTCAATGTTTTTTACACCGTTGACAGTTCAAGCTTGCTAAATCCCCATGGCTGGGGCGGCTTCCCAGGCCTAGCCGCGCAGTACGCTGCCCTACAGCAGCAGCGAGTGGTCGCCCTGCATGCAGCGCAGCGTGCAGAGGACGCCCAGCATCGACTAGAGGAACTGCAGCGCAGTGAGGTGACTTGGCAGATAGACGTGAAGGGCTTATTTGTTTTCAGGCAGAATAAGTCCCTGACAAACATAGAGTTAAAGCAGAAAATGGGGGGAAATGAAAGGTAACCGTCAAGGGCCCCTTGACTCAGTCCCCTGCAACTCATTAGTTTCAGGAAGAGGTGACTGGACTCGATTGGGGGGCCTTTGCCTGAGCTTTAGAGGTTCTCAAAAAAGCCTGTAAGAAGCTTCCTTGATGAGGAACCCTTGTATGATTTTGCTTTGCTTCCTCATTATCAAAACAGTTTCATTGTTGAATTGAGGAACAAAACTATCTGTCGGACATGTCAAGTGTGGGACTGGGATCTCAAGGATCTCAAGGATCTCGATCGTACAGACTCCTAGGCAGCGAGCCTTGCTACAAGTTCAGCCGAGAGGATGCAAAGCTTAGAAGCACGGCTCAAGGTACAATGAGTGTTGTTCCTTTTTCTCCTTGAGGCCTTCTTACCTTTCCTTCTTTCCTTCCCTTCCCCTTTTCCTTTCTTCTAGATATATAGCATACATGCAGAACTGAAAGTAGGCACCGTTTTCATTTTTTCTCAACACTTTTTTTTGTACTCAGTTGAACTTATGTTTCCCTCATCAACCAAAACGACACTTGCAGAAAGCAGAGCTGCACATTTTCCGTTTTTCTCGTTGATTTTTGTAGGTTGAACATTGAGACTTTCTTTCTTGTTTTTTAGCTGCACTACCGACTTGAATCATCGACCAAAACGGCACGTGCTGAAAGCAGGGCTGAAAGTAGTTGGACGCAAGGTCAATGCTCAATGAGTACAGGGAGGACCCAACGTCAATAAAAGTCATTGAACAGAAATGAACGATTTGCTGAGTGACGAAGCAATCGAATCATTGATGACGTACTTGCGAATCTTGCGAACATGGCCGAGCCATGAAGAAGATTGAAGAAGCATCAGAACACCAGCCGCTCGTTGGTATCCTCGACTACACCGCTGCGGGGTGATACGGGCCAAGGATGCTTGGTACGGAGTATTGTAGTCATGATATTTCAAGCCCACCTGAGGCTTGGTCCTGGTCAGCAAGAAGAAAACAAAAAAGAAACACAAAGACTATAAATCTAAGGATCTTTCTTTTTTTAAGCATATACAAAGGAATTCGATCAAACAAGATGTGATGACTGAGAGTCGTCTTGAGCGACCGAGTCTTAGAAAGAAGATACCCAAAAAGAAAAGAAAATACAAAAAACTTCGTTGCTGTCAGAAGTGGCCACAGGATGTTCAGCTGCTGATGCTGACCTGTCTTGCTGTGCTGCCTGCTGCTTCTGCCTCTGCTATCACTCTCAAGAACTACAGGGCCCCCCCTGGCCCCCTATATACTGTAGATCAGTCCAGAGTTGTTGTCACAACTCATGGCGTGCCTGCGCCGGATGTTCTCGAATGCTTTCATGCGAGGGGGTTTGACGTGGAACCTACACAAAGTCTTCATGAAGCGCTGCTGCCGTGCATTGCGCGTACGCGGCCTGTTCATGGAGTGTACACACCTCGTTCTGCAGAGGCTGCTGATGCCCTGCCTATTGGCTCAACCTGGGCCTTGATAAACATTTAGCGAAAGTTCGGAGGGACGGCTGATGACACCACGGGTTCTCCTTTGATGTTGGAGTTTCTTTCCTGTGTGGGTGGATGCGCATCAGCCCAAAGGTGTGACGCCCAAACATTGGATTACTGTAACGGGTGCTGTGTGGTTCATTAGGAAAGAAGACTTGGGTCAAATGAAGCGTTATGCTCTGGCCAAAGAATGGAGTGGAACTCAAAGGTTCCACTCGTCATTTGATGGATGCCCCGGAATCGCCACCTTCAGTCACTCAAGGGGCAAGTGCCACTGATTGATATCAAATTATCAATTTCTTAGTTTTGATAAGGCCGGATCTCAGAGGATGATGAAGAACTTCAGCATGGTGAAACACAGTGAAACACACAAAAAGATAAAAGAAGGCGCACGGCTGAAAAACTCAAAGCCTTGCCTACCCAGCCTGGGCCAAGATATCCCAACTTCATCGTTCCCGAAAATGCTTCTGGAGGGGACGCCGGCTCGTGAGCGCTCCAAGTGGAACCCTACCCATGGCTGGATCACCACGATTAGCATACTCTCAGACAATATGCCTTCGTTCCATGTAGGTTTCATGTGGACGTCCTGGGTCCAAGCAGATGATAGTACATGCTGCGACAAAGCCCAAAGTGACGTTACATTCACTTCAAGAAATATCCGTGGGACTGCTCTGGGAACTCTCAAAATCCACGCGACAACGGCTGATGTTCTGATGCCTTTTCATGACTTGGCCATGATGGATATTTGCAAGCACGTCAAATATTCTATTGTTTCGTCACTCAGCAAACCGTTCAGTTCTTTCCAGTGACTTTATTGACGTTAGGCCCTCCTTGTACTCATTGAGCATCGACCTTTTTGCAAGTCCGTAGTGCAGAAAACGTACAAAAAACAGTCAAGTTACAGCAAGTTCAAAAAGCCAGAACGGTCAATACTTCTGTTTTGGCTCATGGAGGAGTTAAAATTTCAACGGCAAACAGTCTCGAAAAAAGCGGACCCTACTTTGGCCTTTACTGCAAGATAAAAATCAATCACACAAATTGTCGAGAAAAACGGAAAGCACTGCCTACTTTCAGCTTTGCTTTAATGTTGACATTGTGTACAATGTCGCTATCGTGTACAGGCCCACGCGACGGAAGCTGAACGCTTGGTGGATGCCGCTGAAGAAGCTGGCCGGGAAGAGATACGCAAGGTGGACGGATTAAAGTCTGCCATCCTGCTTGCAGTAATAAAAAACATTTTTTTGTGACTTTGAACTTATATATTATATATATTTTTTGCTTTTCCAAACTCAGGGGGACGATGATCTCACTGTGTTACTGGTAGGTGCTTGCTGAAGGCTTTGTGGGTTTGCGAGCAGCTGCAAAGCTGGGCTCAAAGCAGTCTAGCTATTGGACGGCTGAGGCAGTGGCTTGGCTGAGATAATCAATTTTGTATTAGGCATTAGATTGATAATGGTTGATACATGCAGAAATGCAGTGTCTAATTTTTGTTGTGTGATTTTACATGGGTTCACCATGACAAATCTCAACTTTCAGGAGTTTGCTGCAGTGGAAAGCAAAGTGGAGGAGCAAGCAGAAGCTGCCTGGTCAGAGGCCTTGAAGAACCAGCTTGCCGCCAAGAAACAAAGGCAGCTTCTTAGCTGGCAGTGGCAGCTTTTTAACTGGCAGTGAACGAAAAGATATCACGCATGATTTCAACTATTTTGAGCCAAGCAGGCGCGTGGTGGGAGGCTTGTGAGGCCTTGATTTTTAAGATTTTCAGTTTTGTTTGAGGTTAAGAGCTGAGTTGGAAATGCAGGAGAAGCAGCGAGTGGAGCGCCTTGAGACTTTGCAAATGGAGAAACGTGAGGCGGACACTTCTATGCACGTTTGTATTGGCAGTTGAATGGCAAAGCCTCACTGACATGAGCAATGATCCCTGGGACCAGCGGAGGTCACAACGGGCAACTGACCAAACCTACAGAGTTAATAATATCCCTTGAGGGAAGAACTCATTTCCAACATCAGTGGCTTTGAAGGTGCTCCTTGAGGAAGAGGCGCAGAAGAAAGCTCGACTAGAGTTCCGGAAGGAGGGGGCTGGAAGATCTTGGAAAGAGTTTGAGGATTGCAGACAACTGGATAATTGTGTAGCCACGGGCAACAGGTAGCAGTAAAGTTCAAAAAAGTTTGCCAGTTCACAGACAGAACAAAAACAGCACTTGACATGGCAAGTGCAAGGAGCTGAAGGCAGAGCTTCAGGAAGCTGAAAGTGCATGGCTTCAAAAAATGGCTCCCATTTGGCGAGAGGAGTCAGAGGAGGCTTCGCTGTCAAAGTCTAAGCCTACTTTGCAGAGGATTTTGCATGTCAGGTGAAGCGCAGAGTTCGCTCTGTTGACTTGGAGATGCAGCAACAGTTTGAAGCTCAGACACATAGTCTTTTGACAGCATCGAATGTCGATTCTTGATCATCCCTGTGCAAACTGCGGTCAGGCAGCATCGCATGCACAGCTGGTACGCAGAGGAATCAGCTGCATTGGCTGCCCGGGAAGAGGAACGAGCGGAAGCCTGGTTGAATCAGGTCTGGGCTCGTGCCGAGGCTCAGGCTGAAAAGGAGGCTGGAATTTTTCATTGTTTGTCCCTTGCAAGCTTTTCATCAAGAATTTAGGAGACAGATTCAGACAATCAATCTAAATTCAGAACACAGCCCCTGGATCTGATGTAAGGATGTCGAACGTCGACCATCCAACCTGCACCTCCCATGCAGCCAATTCCACGCTCCACTCGGCTTCACATCCCCACTGCTTGCAGTCTACATCCACCCGCAAACATATTCCCTGCTTAATCCATCTAAAGTCCTCGTGCCAGGGTGCAAATATCCACACACATCCATGTGCATACCAAGCAGTGAGAAGGCTTAACATACGCACTATGAAAGGGCTCACAGCATAAGGCTTCCATGCAGCTCAAGTATATGAAGCTGCAGGAACAAACGCCTGCTTTGAACCTTTTCTGCCGCTTGCAGGTTCACTCAGTACGATCCATGCAGCAGCGTTTGGTGCAGTGCTTGGATATTCCAATCCAACCGCATGATGGGGATCCTTGGCTCTATGCAGTTGATGGAGACAACCTTGAGTTGTGAGTTTTGTGTGTCTGGTTTGCTTAGATACCTCTTAAGCACAAAAAGATGATCTCACAAGGTCTTGTACTTGAGCAAGTATCATGCATCCCTCGGTGCACGAATAGTGTTTTTTTTGTTTCTGTCATTTCTTTTGTTTCACCTTCCTTTACTGTATTCCTTTGCAAGATGCGCTGTTCTCATGCGCTTGAAACTCCAATATCTGAACTGTGAGGCCCGTGAGGTGCAATTGCAGCAACGAGTCTGGCATGTCGAGGCCCTGGCAGAAGAGGCAGCTGCACGGGAGGTTGCTGGCCGCCAGGCTGAGGCGTGCAAGCCGAGCAAGCTTCAGATGATGAGATTTCGGAAAGACACCTACACACACACGTACTGTATGTACTATATTATATATATATAGCTCGAGAAAAAGGAGAAGAAAGGTATGCGAAAGGGAAGGTAAGGATTCTAAACCTACTTCTTTAGATATAGTGCTGAGTTGTATTTTTTTGCTTGCAGGCAGAGGCTTGTGCAACTGCCATAGAGGAACTAAAGGCTGGGTGTGACTGCAAGTGCTGTTGCTCTGTGGCAGACTTCTAAATTCCTCGTGATGAGTGCTTGGTGCTTTTGGGCCTATGTCAACCTTATTTCTGCCTGGCCGGAGGCAGCGCATGAGGCTGCCTGCAATGAGCAGCTGGCTTGGGCTGAAGAACAACACAAGGGGCGCTGCAAAGAGCTGGAAGAGCAAGGCATGTCATGACGCACTTGTGGGCAGCGCCCGGCAAAAATGCGGATCCCATTTTGTTGTTTCACCTGAGTACGCTGCCTTTCCGAAATTCCTCCTGTAGCTTACTCCTGACGCTGTCCGCTGGCAGGATTGGAAGCTGCACGGCGAGAAAGCCAGGAGCAAGAAATGCGGTACCTGCAAGAATTGCAGACTGCAGAGCGCACTCGTGATGAGGCAGCAGCTGTTACTAGCACTTGAGGCACTTGTAAGTTGGGATCACAGCCAGGCACTGGAAGCAGTTGAAGCGCTGAAGAAGAGGACTGCGGCCTTGCAGGAGGAAGAGTTGGCCACTGTAGCGCAGATGGAAGAGCCCCTGGGTGAAAGCATGGGGTGAGGGCGAAAGCACGGAGGACATTTTCAACATTTTTCTACGTGTTTTATGAAAGAGCTGCTTTGCAGATATCCTGCTAGTGAGGCACATCATTGCTCAAGCTGCTGAGCGGCGTCAAGCTTTGCTTGGACACCATTGGACAATGCTCCATGGACATGCTCCTGGTCATTTAGCAGGCCTGAGCAAAAGCAGAAAGGAAAACACTAGTAACAAGTGCGTTGCCACTAGTAGGAACAAGTTACTAGTAGCGATGCACTTGTTACAAGAACAGCTTTCAATGTTCCCCACTACCCACATTGTCCATGGTGAATTATGTTGCGTATCGGCGTATCGGGTGCAGTATTTGGTTACATGGTGAAGTTGAGGCAACGCATCTGCCAGTTGCTCATCAAGTGGTCGAACCCTGCAACGACCTGAAGGTGCCACCCAACCATGTCAGCTGGCATCTTGCTGCTCGTTTCCCATCATTTTGGAAGACTTGAAAAAGTCTCTTCTACTCCTATCCAGGTCTCTCTGGCTGGAGTTGGAACAACGACTTCCCCATTGTGAGTGATGCCTTCGACCGGGAGGCCTGTGGCATCCTGCAGCTTTTGCACCCTGATTTGGCTTCACAGGATACCTAATACTAGTTCCAGACATACTTCTAAATCCCTTTTGTTTGTGTTGATTTTTGAGTATGTCTGAAGGTCTTGGGCGTTGGCGGTGGGCACGGTATCTCGAGCGCAGCATCAGCAATGCGACTTCTTGAGAGCTGGGAGCGAGAGTACGGTGTTTTGGATGGAATCATTTCTGTGGCATCGCAGAGCATCGCAGTGCCTTGAAGTCTGTCATTCATGTGTTTTTGACTTTCTGTTGACCCAGATGAAGCACCACGCAGTACTTCACGGGCAAGCTCTCAAAGAGGTCTATCGCCACCTCTCAGACCGCCTGGCCAAAATGGACATGCTGCTGTGGGAGAGGAGTTGAACAATTGTACCTTGCCCTTTCCTTGAGTCTTTACTTTGTTCATTGACGGCCGTATTCCTTTTCTCGAGTGCCACAAGACTTTGAGAATGCCCAAGGGCCAGATGTTCGAGATGCAATCAGCGACTGGGGCAAGACTTACTCGAAGGAGGCCGTGCCAAAGAAGCTGCAGGCATTCACAGCAGATTCACGAGGTTTACCTGATGTACCACCTGTGCAACTGGCCTGAAAAGCATAGCTGAACCGTATCTGGATGGAGTATGATGGAGTCCTCTTTCCTTTGCAACATTTATCGGAGTAGGTCAGACCTGGCGGCTCTCGTGATGTGATGCAATTGAGCTTTTGGGACTCTCGCTGGCTCCCATGATTCGACTTCACTCTTTCCGCGAGCTCCACTGTGTTTACATCCCAGGTCTTCTTGACCGGGACCAGCTTCACCAGTGGTCAAACACCTCAAAACCTGGAACATCCATCAATGCAATGTATTCTTTGGCCCTTCACCTTGACTCTAAACCTGGAGTAACGAAAGGAAGAGGCAACAGAAGCAAAACACAGAGTATTCACACTTTTCTCAAGGGTCTTTCAACATGAGCTATAGCAGCTGCTTTGTTCTAGCATCAAAGTCGCAACTCCCCATGACAGCAGTTTTGGTATGTGCTTGCAGTGTGAAAGGCATGGATTCTGCTGCATTTAGACTTGACGCCGCAGAGCCAAGGTATCAAACCGCTGTAGCCGCCGTGGAGCAATACGGCTGGCAGGCGATACATGGAGATACTCAGGAGAGCACGCTGGGGCTTGAAGGTGATCCTTGTCATTCATTTGGTGAACTGGATGTAGATAATTTTTAATGTTGTTCCGACGCAGCTGGTAAACGCATCAGGAGTGGACTGCCTTGCATTGGTCGGCCGTTGCTGGCAATATGGAGGTTTGCCATCGGCTTCTTATCGCTATGGCAAATCCACTTCAACTAGATCAAGCAGGAGCATCAGCAGTGTGGCAAACCCAGGGATGTCAACTACTTCCTTCTTTTCTAGTCTTCAGCCAGCCATTTTGCAGAAGCAGTTGCAACGCCCGTTTGACAATAGCAGTTGATCAACAAACATTCAGAGAAACTGCACAAAAAAGCTACCAGCAGCAGCAGCAGCAGGAGGAGCAGCAGGAGGAGGAGCAGCAGCAGCAGGAGGAGCAGCAGGAGCAGCAGCAGCAGCAGGAGGAGCAGCAGGAGGAGCAGGAGCAGGAGCAGGAGCAGGAGCAGGAGTGGTAGCAGTAGTATTGGACCATTTTGACTCATTTGACCATCCAACATGCTGGATTGAGAGGCATGGTGCCAACATGTGCTTTCACTTTATCAAAGCGACTATACAACAGTACCACATCCCCGGACTGTGATTGTTGTCTGAAGTTTCTTGCGCGTTCCAGTCAACAACTCAATACTGACTGACAATTGTGCATACAATCGAATGTACAAAGTGCAGGAAAGTCTGCAATGGACTATGCACTAGAAGCAGGAAACGTGGAGATCTCAGACCTATTGCCAACTCTTCTTTTTGCGAGAATTTGCTGACTGACGTCCTGCATGGGTAAGGCAGATATTTTTGAGCTTCTGTCCGCTGGCACAGCGTTCACTCAATCGCCAAAGAGCATGCGAAAAGGGTGTCCTACTTTGCTAAGTTGGCTTGAGGGCTCAGCTACTTTGCTGGGAGAAAGTAGACACGACTCGCAGGTTGGATTGTCTTTGCGTGCTACACCGAATTCCGAATTCGTTGGTACTTGTCTCAGAAGGTTTGGGAAGTTCGTGGAAGCAAACTTTGCACGCTATGAGGTCCCAGTGCAGCATCAGAATTTGGGGCTGGCCTGCACTTTGAACCGTGCGCACTCAATTGATGTCCGATATGCAGCAGCTACGTTTAATTCCAATGGCCGCAGATTCTTTGTGCCTCGCGAGCCAGTGCTACATGAACCACGGCATAGGGAGGCCTGGACGTTGATGAATGGTGCAAGACTGATTGACGGCTTGAGCAAGTTGGATGATTTGAACGAGGGACGGCTTACTTTGGTCCCAGATCGCTTCACAGAGCGCACAGAACATAGAAGTTGCATTATGTGGTCCAACCTAGGAGGTGAACTGCTTTGTTCAGGAGTACCGGGTTTCAGCCATAGCTGCCATAGCATGCCGTAGCTATGTTGCACCTCTCGTAACAGCAGTATTTGTTTAGCATTGGTAAACCAACTTCCATCTACTTCTGGCGAAATGCAGACCTCGAAGACACTCTTGGAAAGAAAGCACCTTCACTAGCCTTTGATCTTGAGAGAGCTTGTGTGTCACCCTCGACATTTTGGGCGGCACCATGGCGTTATTTCACAAAGACTTGAGACGCAGCAAGTAATGCTGGCTGGACTCAAGTTTGGCAAGAAGGAGAATGAGGAGAGATGTGAACAGATGTTGAACACTTTCAGAGTGATTGATAGATGCTGGTTTTCCCAGCCTTGGATGGTGGTCTCCCCTCACAGAAGATTGACTTGGAAGGAAGGTCTCAAGTCTCGTTGAAACTCAGCCTTTGACCAATAAAACGATTTCTTCGCAAAAATTCATCTTCTGGTGCACAAGATCCAGAGATTGGCAACACTGATAGAACCTTGCAGGAGAAGACCCTAAGCAAGTGCCAGTCCCAGCTAGGCTGCTCCGAGCCTTTGGGTTGTTTGGCTTGCCCTGATCAATGCTACAGTTGGATTTAGTTTGTTGCAGATAGGACGTAGGGCAAGTGTGGCAATTCATGGTGGATGTTTACTTATTGCGCTCGAGCTTTGTGCTGCCAGAACCACAGTTAATCCGTCGGTTACTTTTGGGTGTACTTTTTTGCGGTGTCTCTCTACTCCCTTACTGCCTTATCTTGGATGCTTGATCCAGTGCTGAACAGCCGTTGCTGTTGAGGAAAGACAAAAAGAAAGAAAAACGAAAAGAGCAGAAGAAGCGATGCCAAGCTGCAGACAGACGACACATGTGGAACAAGTGCAACATTCTAGGGGAGCGTGCGAGGGCATGTTTGTCGCGTGGTGTCGTGCAAGGAAAGAAAGCCTTGCTCTCAGGACATTAAGATAGTGGCTAGCGGCTAATGCTTTGCTTTTTCTCTCACTATGTTGAGTACCAAACGAAGACACCTGATTGGGTGCTGGTCGACTAGCAGTTCTTTTTCGCCAATTGACTTTGCCAAAGCGAAGGCAGGTGCACCATTGGACTGCAGCACTTGTTGGTTAAACATACTCTTCACGACTAAGACCAAGAAAGAGAAGAAAGCTGCGAAGGCAAAGCATGTTTTCTTAAGTACTGGCATATGGTGATGCACCTGTGCAAGTCTTGGACAGGAGGAGGTGTCAGAAGCGTCTTCTGGGCAGGAGACGTCCGCCAAGATGCTTGGACTGTGTTTGGTTCATTTGCACTGTGTTTGGCTAGAGGAGTCTGAGGAGGAGGAGGAGACTTCAAAAAAACCAAAGGCCTCCTCTCAGTTTGGTAACCTTGCACTGGACAAAGCACCAACGGGTTTGCGGACTGGAGGATGTTGGGGGAGAAGCACCGGGCAAGAAGGCACAGCAACCCTGTCTGTAACTTCTCCCACATCCCACAAAACTGCATTCCTTCAGGTGGAAGCAAAAGCGTCGACACTAGGCTGGTGCCTCAATCACGAGTTTTTGCTCTACACAAGAGTTCACACCAGACTCCAAGGTGAAGATGATGAAGTCGCAAAAGCTGAGGCTCTCAACAATCCTACTGGGTGTTGTGAATGAGCATTTGTTGTTTGACGCGAATACTGAACCTCAGCTTGGATACAACCACATACACATTGACATGGTGGTCTCGAAACCTGCAGTCCACCGTCCGGCGAGTTTCTCCATTTTTGGAGGTTGACTTTTTCAGCTCTATGGGAAAAGAGCGTGAGCTGGAGCCTGAAAACCCCGCTGGCTTCGGGAGTTGAATCCTAGTTTTGACATGTTATGACTGCCTTTTCCACAAGGAAAGATGCAAAGTTGAAGGAAGACCCAGACAAAATGAAGGTCATCTACAGACCGCTTCTCATACTTTCTGCAGCTGCTTGCTGACTGGCTTACCAACTGCACCTAGCTGCGTCTGGAGCTCCCGAAACAGTCTTTCCAGGTCAGCGAGAAGGAATACAATCCTTACCTTCGAGGAGAAGAGTCAAACCTCCCGGTCCGCCACTGGCAAGAAAGCTAGAGGTACATCAGCACTCCAGTCCTTGATCGCTCGAGGTACCGAAGTCTGCAAGCGCAAGCTCAATTCCAGAGCATTTGCGCCAAAGACTTATTGTTTTATTGTCATTTTATTTGAGGTGTCAAGTCAACCTAGAAAACCTAGAGTTCTTTTGCAAACAAGCTGGTGTTTGGTTTCAGGAGATGCAGGACTAAAGTCAATCAGAGTGTTTTTGACATTCTTATATAGATATCAGTACGATCTTCTCACCTGGGGGAGACATCAGATTCGACAAGTCGCATCTTCTGCAGAACAAGGAGATCTGTGCTTGCTCCTAGCTGCTGCTTCACGCAATGGCTTTGAGGTGTTGGCACCCCCTGGGCGAAGAACGACTGGCGAAAGCGCCTGCACAAGAGACAGGAAAAGGTCGATAGACTAAATGTTGCATAGCTTCTTTGGCAGTGAGAAGTGTTCTTGTGTCAGGCCGTGGATGGGAAGAATGATGAGGTGGCGAACGAAAGAAGAATGAATTCAATCTCCGGATCATTTGGTGTAGATTTGTAGATTTTTTAGTGAGGGATTTCTATTGCAGGCAAGATTGTCTCCACCCCGCTAGAGCCTTGGGCTGTTGTGAGAGACCGGCTCACTGGCATC